TCTGTCTTTCTGTCTTTCTGTCTTTCTGTCTTTCTGTCTTTCTGTCTGTCTGTCTTTCTGTTTTCTTTTCTTTTTTGCCAGGCTTCGTTTTGAGTCCAGTGATCCATTTGTTCATCACCATCTTGTCTTCAAACTGAACACAAAGCCTGACAAACAGCACAGTAGCCTGCAGTATCTGAGGAACGTTGGCTGTATCTCATTACCCCTTTTCTCTGTGTATCAGCCAGCTTTTTGTTACTACTGTAATACACACCGGGGACATCATCACTTCCCAACAACACGAAGTCAGGGACCAGGCCATCAACAATGCAGCCTCTAAGAATACATTAGAGTGATGATGCTTAAAGCATGCTTTGCAGAGTCCCCAAGAATTGCGTTGCCAAGTCCTCTCCATCCCAGTGGCTTGATCTGCCCTGACTCCGGAACCCAATTCCACTGAGCATCCTTTACTATTTCTTCTGTCTCCTAGGATCTCAGTTGCCTCTCAGAGGTGAAGTTGCATAGTGTGGGAAGCACCAAGTTTGGCATTTAAAGGTGCTGGAATTATGTTTCAGCCCAACTTTCCCCGATGGACAGTTCTGAGAAAGGAAGCAAGTCATGGAAACCCAGTTTCTTCATTTGCTTCTGAGACATAGCCTCTTCCTGCTCATCCCCGTGCCATTGTAATTATGATTGCCTTCAAAGTTTCATGCTTGCTTTTCTTTGCTGAGAATTGGGAAGCCAAACAGGAGCTGGTGCTCTGTGCTTCCCCATCTCCAGGAGTCAGCTGCCTATCAAGACTGTGCTGAACTCGGCTGGCACTTGATGAAAGTCCCAGGGTGGCCTGCTGTGGGCACGCTCTGCAATCCTTCATGGACTCTACCTTTTCTCTCTCACAATGTAGTTATTACCTCTCAGGTTTTATATTCTGAGTGCAACACACTGTCTGTCGTATTTAATTTTCTCAGTGATTATAGACATAGAAGCTCCTAGCATCTTCCCAGAGAAATGATTGTAGATTTCTAGCTCATCGTTTCTCTTGATACGGATATCAACGTAAACTGTCTTTCCGAGCTTGATTTGCCATGCATATTGCTCGTGTCTCTCAAAAGCCTGTGTGTTAAGGGTATGGTTATCAGCATGGAGCTGTTGTGGGGTGGTGGAACCATGAGAGGTAGGGCACAGTGAGAAGTCTTTTAATCATTGAGGGTGTGACCTCAAAAGGAGCCCAGACTTCCCCTCTTCAAAGTTTTTAACTCCTAAGACATCAGTGGCGCTGCTGGCTTCACACTCCTTCTACCACGGACCTAAAAGCCAAAATGCCAACTGATTACAGAGTTGAACCTTCGAAATCAGAAACACTCACAAGCCTTTTCTCTTCACAGACTGATGTACTTAGACATTTGCTAGACTCATACAAGACTGACGAACAAGTCTCAGATTAGACAAAACAAGGACCAGAACATGAGTTGATTTTATAGATGAAGGAACTGAAGACGAAGCCGATCAACCTGTTTGCTCGTTGTTCCTTACATTTTCAGCAACGGAGTCAAAGGCATGGCCCTTGGAAGCCTTGCTAGTGCTGTGCCATCAAGTCTCTACACTTTCTGGATTCTATTCTGAACATCATTCAGAGTCTCATTGGAAACGTGTGCTCAATTACTGCACATTAACAGAAAGTGGCCAACACTATAAAAATGGGCAATTTTGGAATTACTTTAAGTCAGAACTCAAACCCTTCAGCAGGAAAGTGAGACAGGCAGACCCACAATACAGACAAACCCTAGTTTTCCTTTCTCTTTTGTCTGTTACTGGTGTGGATAATTACCAGGGAAATGGCCGCAAAGTGGCCAAAGGGATTTCCAGAGTGGAGAATAATTCAACAATGAGTTTATTGTGCTATAAATAATAGCAAGCTGATTGCAGAAGAGCTATTTCTTAGAGATCTAAAGCCACACTTCCTTATATCACTTTTAAATCAATTATCCTGTAAAATATCAATGGACTACTGTGAATGGTATTCCCTTTACACAGATCTCTCTCTGCTTGCCCTGACGCTTCAGTGTTTTTACATAGCAAGAGCCTCATATTAATAATGAGTTTTCTTCTCAAAAATCAAAATGCCGTCTCCATGTTACCATTTAATTAGTGCTCAGAGCATTCCTCTGTGGAGCCGGTGTGTGATGTGAAGGGCTGTCCTTTGCCATGATGATACAAAGGAAGGAGGTTCAAAGGGGAGGTCATTCCTGTCTACGATGGGTCTTGATGCTACTCAGCTCAGTTCAGTATCATCGACTGCTGTTCTTCCAGTCTGACAAGAGATTCACAGTGAACTGTACACATGGCCTCACCCCATCATCAGCTTTATAGGTAATTAAAGTTCTGTCCACCCTTTGTCAGACAGATCCTCCATGTCTGAGGATGGGGCAGTGAACAGGAGAGAAAATGTCTGTGCCATCATGGAACCTGAGGAGAAAGACAAGTGTAATCTATAAGCAAACTGCAGTCCTGTTACAAGGAACAGACACTCAATTAGTGCAAGAAAGTAAAAGATGACAGGGAGGGTGGGTTATTTTATGTTGGACTTGAGAGCATAATTGTCCTCACGGAGGACATAACTGTCCTTGTTGAGAAGGTATCCCTTGAGATAAGAGCGAAAGAGTGACTCCAACATCTGAAGGCCGAACATTCTGGATAGGATAACAGGAAGAGCCAGTACAAATGCCCTGAGGCACCAGATACTTATAATGCATAAAGAAACACAGAGACCCTGTGCCTGGAGCAGAGTAGCCAAGTGTGCTGGCTAGTTTCAGTCAACTGATACAAATTAGATTCATCGCAGCTGAGGAACTGCCTTGGTCAGTTTGGCCTGTGGCCATGTCTGTGGGGTGTTTTTGTAGGAGGGTCTAGCCCACTGTGGATGGAGTCATCCCTAGAATGGGAGCCCTGGGCTATATAAGAGCTGTAGCTGAGCAAGTCAGCAGAAGCAAGCCATTAAGCCGCTTGGTCCTCCGTGGTCCCTGCTTCTCTTGCCTCCAGGTTCCTGCCGTGAGTTTCTGCCCTGACTTCCCATAATGATGACTTGTAACCTGAAAGACCAATGTTCCTTTTCCTTCCCCATGTTGCTTTTGATCACCATCTTATAACAGCAACAGAAGGCCACCTAGGACACCAGGTTAGCACCCCAACTTTAGAACGGGCAGGGGCACGTTCATATAATCCTCCCCATGGTTGGTGTCTTGAGGACATCTTTCATTTGGAGTGGCTTAGAGTCCTTTGGGAGATGTTAAGTACGGAAATCACATAGCATTTGCACTTGACATGGTCCCTTTGGATGCTCTCTGTGGGACCTGCTGACTGGATTGGATGCAAGGCAGGAGAAAAGGAGGTCTTTATATCTCCCCAACTTGACTGGAGACTCCTTAAGGACAAAGGATACCCACTGTGCTTGTTTAAATTCTTTGTAGAAGAAAAAAGGAAACTTTCATTCACAGTAAATACGTAAGTACTTTAAAATGAAAATTCATGCCTACATCTGTAGGTAGTAACTTAGGATGCCAAAACTCCGAATTATTTACAAAAATAGACACTATTTCTTATAAATCAAAAATAGTAATACAATTAGATTTCTTTCCCAGTGTGAAGCTGTTAAAGTTAAACATAAAGAAAAAAATCTCTAAAATGTCTTGGGGGCAGAGTGTGATAAGGCTACAAGTAGGCCCTTTGCCTGCTGATCAGAGATCCCACCTGGCGTGTAATATTTCCATATTCAAAAATTAATTTTTTTAAAACAAAAATATTACAACATATATCGTTCATAGAGAAAATAGTAAAATGAATTTGAATGATGACAGTTGAGATTATGCCATACTTAGGGCTTTGAAACACACAAAAAAGGCCCAGCAATACCCATGTTTGTTTTTCTTATTTATACCATACATGTCTCCATTACATGAGAAAATTACGGAAGCGAATGTTAAAGTCTAAGATACAGATGGGTTTGGGGAGATCTAGGCTGTTTGCCTGAGTCTCATTCTGAAGAGGAGGGAGTCCTGAGAATTTTAAGGTGTCCTTTACATAATGACACGAATTGTGAGTTGTCTCTGAACTGAATCTTCCTCCTTAGTTCTTTCCTGGCGATTGTAACTAGCCTTACAGACTCCTTCAGGCCCTTCCTTCTTTCCATATCTATCCATCTATCTATCCATCTATCCATCAGTCCCTCTTTCCATATCTATCCATCCTAACCAAGTGAGTATCCCGACAGTAGACAGGGCAAAGGGAAAGGGGTGGGGAGAGAGCAGCAGGGTTAGAGTAAGAATCCCAAGGAACCATTCAAAAAGATTGGAAACAAAGAGAATTTTGCTGAACAGTGAAAAGAAAGACTTGAGGAACTGGTGGAGAGATTCCTAGGCTCCTACAACTTCCTAATGTCCCAGAAAACGGATGAGCACTTTTCTCTTTCATGTCTTTCTAACCTTTGAGGAAACAGTGGCAAGGACCTGAAGAGTTCAGGGGTATCAGCAATCACAGACCCTTTGTGATTAGTGAACCCGGCAGAGCACAAGGACCAACAGAAGGCAAGTTCCTCTGAGCCCAGTACGTCAAAACAGCTAGACTTCAGCTGTGGTCTTTCAATGTCACAGGTGGCGGGAGACTGTTTCCTTTAGGTCAAGGCCTTCAAATTCCTTCCCGTTTCTCCAACTCAGGAGGAGGCACGAGGGCTGCTGAATTTGGTCCTGGCCGTCGTTGCTTTCAAATCTGGGCTATTCCAGCATCTCTCTGTGCTGTTACTTAAGCATAAAGATTATCAATCATTTTCTTCCCTGGTTCTGCCATAAGGGTCGCCAGGCACACGACGCAGACCTGCCAGCGGTAGGGGGCCTTATCTCTCCATCAACCCACCCACCCATTCACCCACCCAGCCATCCACCCACCCTCCGCCAAGCCCTTCCTCCTGCTTAGCTCAGTTCTGCTCTCCAGGCCTAACGGCGGCGCGGGAGGGGCGCCGGAGCGTGGTCTGGCCAGCGCCAGGGACAGGGCCTGTGCTTCCGAGGGGCTGCGGGGTCGGGAGACCGGGGACACCCAGGGGTGTGGCGGCGGCGGAGCCGAGCCTGTCCGAGCCGGCACCTTCGGGCGTCCCTGTCCCACGTGACTGTCGCCTCCTCCCTCCTCCTAGTCGCGCGCACGGGCCGGGCGTCTCGACTCCCGCGCGCGCTCGACTGGTCCCAGTCCCCGGGAGGAGAAGCGG